AAATATTTAATTACTGCAGTTAACCGGCGTATAATCACAATCACAGTCTGATATCAGACTGATAACCAATATCTGACTGCTCCGTCTTAGGGCAATATTTATGGCGGCTTTTAGTGATGGCATTGTTGTGCAATCTTATTTTGTAGTTTTGCTTTAGTAAAGTTTTCCTTTAAGGACAGACTTTGCAGTTAAATTATATTTTATTGCAATATCACAATGTTAAGAAATTGTGATAACATTGTATCATGAATGAATCGCGGGTTCATGGGTTGTCTGCTGATTCCCACCCTTAATTGAAAGGGCCTCAACTTTCCGGTGCCAGCTTCAACTCCAGGCAAACTCATCTGATCTCTTTTGAAGAACAAGGACAAAGATTTAAAAATAGATAAAGAAATAAAAGGTTTATCTATATGGAAAATAATTAACAGCTGCAGTAGCAAAGTTTTGTGTGTCTATAAAGCAACCTAAAAAATGTACAGTATCATGTTTATAATATTCTGACTTGGTGTGATTATGGAGGCCGAGTTCAACAGAATTTGCAAACACTGTTTCATGTTTGCCCAACAGAACGCCAACAGGATCGGGCCCAGACGCAGACCGGCTGAAGAGAGGTGGGTGGAAAGGAACAGGCGGCGCGCATGCAGTGAAGCTAAGAGGAAATGAGCTGAGAGGAAAGAGAGGAGGAAGAAGGGCTAGTGACAGAGCTGATGTAGTTGGCATGCGGGTCCAGTTGAGTTCACTGGGACAGACTCACTTCGTTTGAGCAACCTTTAACACTGAAAAGATAGTTTTCGCTCCCTTGTTGTCACGTGCCTGTGCTGGTGTGACTTCTCATTTAGGGTATGCATTAGGGCTGCCACAAACGATTATTTTGATAGTCGACTAGTCACCGATTATTTTTGCGATTAGTCGACTAATCAGATCATCATCCATTGGACGTACAGCGTACAGCTTATTGCACCAGCAGCATCTGGTCTTATATAACTATCATTAGCTTACAGCTTGAAGTGTTTGTGCTAACTAAAAATAAAGACAAGATGGTAGTTTATTAATTTTTAATGAAATTTGCAGATTGTTTCGGTGAAGTTTAATAAACTCCTTGCTTTCTCACGGCTCTAGTTAGCCTTGCCCCCGCCTAGCTAACGAGCTAGTGGGTAACAGACGTCTCCGAAAACGTCTGCGCGCTTTTGAAAATACGTGGTGTCTTGATAAACTGAGCAGATATTTGAGGTTTACACAGCTACATTCTCGCCTGAAAATATGTTAAAGGTTTATTTTGTGACCCAGAAAGAATAATAAGAGTAAAGTTAAAACTAACTAGCTGCCACCATTGTTGACAACTGCGCTGGGCTGCGCTATGAATTCTGGGACACAGCTTCTTCTTCTTTGGGGTTTAATGGCAGCTGGCATCCTTGTACATGCAGTGCTGCCATCTTCTGTTTCAGTCCGTTATTACACTCTTAAATCCTACTACTCATTCCTGCGTCCTTTGTGATCTTACAAAGCTTCAAACGATGCGTCGACTATTAAATTAGTCGTCGACGATTTTAATAGTCGACATAATCGTGACTAGTCGACTAATCGTGGCAGCCCTAGTATGCATAAGTACATACTGAGAAGAGTGCAGTCATGGCATGAGCAAATATCCACTGTACATCAGTCCCATCCCTTTTGTTAGCTCACGTTACAGAATCAGGTGAAGCCAGGGAGCAAACAAGGCAGCAGTGTGGGAATGAATGGAGCCGCAGAGGCCTTATCTCCATACAGGAGACTGACTATTACACAACTATTACACTAAGAATCAGCAGCGGTTCCAGTATGAGGAAGACCGACTGTACATGGGGTTATACAGCCTGTCTGGCATCCTGCTCATGAGCAAACATTTCTAACCTTCAGCTGCAGTCCCCTGAGGAGGCCTGCTCCATGGCAGTCGCACTACACTTGGCCCTAACAGACACCTTGACACAATGTTCAACAGAGACCTGACACTATGGAAGAATCCCATAATGGTAAAAATGGCAGCTGTTCCACCACTGCACCCAACGAGCTTGTTACAGTCAAACAGCAGCAGTGCACGGGCTCAGCAGAGGTTCAGCGGCGCAGTGGCAAAAATACAGCATGTCTCATTATCATGTAAATATGAAGGTACATGTACTTGTTGTTTTCTTGACTTATGATGATGTGATTTAGCGTGTCGTCTCTTCTGCTCTTTGCTAGCAGGGACAGAGACAATGATTGTGTCAGCACTTTGGAAATAAGCTGTATAACATGAGTATAACACATTGGGAATAAAGCATGCCAATTCAAGCTCGTTTAAATAAGGGCTCTCAGACCCAAAGAGGTGCCCAGGGTCATTGTCAAGCTGGCTACCAAGCAGCAAGACTTGCTTCTGGAAGAGTTTTGAAACAGCCTCTCCTATAGGTCAGGGTAACTGTGTTCCACAGGAGCATGACAACCGATGTGGAGGTGGCTGACATGTGGAGTTATCGCACTACAATAACTCAAAGTTGACTTTGAGTTACTGTAGTACGATAACATAAGACAGGACAAGTGGGAAGGAGCAGGTCGAGTGTGTTAAGTGAAAGTGACAGTTACTGATAAGGGGGAAGCTTGTTCATGCATATCTTTTCTTTAGAATTTGCTACAGCTTTTTTTTTCTTTTTTGTGTTATAAACCATCTGAGAACAAACCAAGAACCCACTCTGAGTGCTACGTGTGGTTCTGCTGCGATCGTGGCTCAAGAGTTGGGAGTTCGCCTTGTAATCGGAAGGTTGCCGGTTTGAGCCCTGGCTCCGACAGTCTCGGTCGTTGTGTCCTTGGGCAAGACACTTCACCCGTTGCCTACTGGTGGTGGTCAGAGGGCCCGGTGACGCCAGTGTCCGGCACCCTCGCCTCTGTCAGTGCGCCCCAGGGTGGCTGTGGCTACAATGTAGCTTGCCATCACCAGTGTGTGAACGTGTGTGTGAATGGGTGGATGACTGGATGTAAAGCGCTTTGGGGTCCTTAGGGACTAGTAAAGCGCTATACAAATACAGGCCATTTACTAAATAGCTTATAGGAGCTCTTGACATCAGATCACGTGACCTGCACAGAGTATGCCACGTTGTCATGGAACTGTAGATGTTCAAGTGTTTTTTGTGCCAATGAGGATCACGTGAATTTATGAAAAGCTTCACTCCAGCCACTAAAAACAAGAAAGAAATTGTTTAGGCCTCCTTGGCTCTTATGGCGCCAACTACAGCCTTTATTTATTCATTCAGTTACTGGGTGTTGCTGGGGTTTTAACCATTTTTACCAAGGTGGTGATCCATTCTTCAACTCATCACTTACTTCTTTAGATGACATCCTGAACAATGCTAATATTTTATTTAAGTCCTAAGTCTAATATTTAACCTTAGGACACCTGGTCTGGACCCTGGACTGCAAAATGTTCACTTCTGACCCACCTTCTGTCCTTCCTGTCATTATTACAGTGATGACGCAAAAGTGCAACAAATGTAGTAGTAAGCTGGGATGGGTTAAACTGGTTCTGCTACCACACTGGTCGGACCTGCAGTGTCCATAAAATGCGCATGAATGTGATGTAGCGTATTTACATTCTGTGCCAACGCATTCCAAAGCATTGGCTCACCTTATTTTAATGAAAGTGTGGCAAAATGAAAGACAATGATGGGCTTTTTAAATAAGCAGTGTAGCGAGTTTTACTGCTTTAGTAAAGCAGCATCTGCTAAACTAGTTATGCAACTGTTTGCACCTCAAGTCGACGTAGGGTTAAAGTTAAGGTAATGTTTACTCTTATGGTCTGTCATTAGCACTTCCTTTAATGTTCGTAATGACTTATTGCTGTCTGAGATCACGGGCTCCCTCTCTAAATGAGTTTAAACAGACTCCCTGACAGCCAGGGATTAATTAACCATGATAAATATAATCATCTTAATTTCATATTAATCATGGTTAATACTGGGGATATTTATAACTGTAGGGAAATGACTACAACTAGTGACACCACAGCTATATAGAGCAGGTCACTTGTTTCAGCATTTTAACTTATGTCATCATGACTGGAATATCTTTGAGGTTGCTAATGAAACAAAACAATGCGGCTGAAGATGTTACCTCTCACCTTGTTACCGTCCTACACACTCTCCTGTTTCCTGCAGCTTGGTAGCTAAGCAGGAACATGTTTTCCCAGATATAACCTAATACTTCCCCGGATGCTTTTGTGTCTTTGAACCCGTTTGTTTTCGGTGTTCAGCAGACCTGACCTATTAAAGCTCACTGCCAGCTGAGCTCTGCTGCCAGACTGTGGGGCAAATAAAGCCTGTGTGATGTAGAGCTCGGCAGTTCTTACCACCATTCTCTCACAGCAGGGTCACCGCTCCTGGATGTGATCTCTAAAATAAGCTGCACTGCTCCACATTCAAACTAGAACAACCTCTGTGTGTGTGTGTGTCTTGTCCTGCATGCAGGCCTGGTCTCTGGGGGTTTCTAGTTTTCTGTGTGTGACAGTTTCACTAATATGGGTTAAATCTGCTGTTTGACTGAAGACCTTGCCTCGCAGGGAGTCCCCATATACTCACATCTAAACTGCATGTCTTCACTAATGCATCATTTTATGAATGCAAAACATTATAACATCCTGTCAGAGACGTTTGCAACTTGCAAACGTTTGTGCACAGATTTTGCAAAGGGGGAGGAAAAGCAGTGTTTTGCTCAGGAGCACAGCAGCTGCAGAGCCCCCTGTTAAGGACACAAACAGCTTGCTGTAAGTCATCCAAGAGGACACTTTCAACGCTCACCGCTGGTGAGATAAAGCTCGGGGCATCTATCATTAACAACCACACCTGCTAACTAAGCTCCCACTTCTAGGTCTCATCCACTGCAGCACTGTGAGCATACTAAGGCGGTATGTGGTGTTAAAGAGTGGCCCGGTGCAGCCTGCACGCTAGGCCCGCAACATCCATCCTAACAGCAGCAGCAGGAGGAGCAGCCAGACTCACCCAGTGTCTTGACTGCGATCTGCCGCGTCAGAGGCGGCGGCAGGTTGATGCAGACCAGATCCACATCCTGATGAAGCAGCACGTCGTCGATCCTGTTGGTGTAAAAGGGCACGTTCATCTCCTTGGCCAGCTCCTCCGCCTCCTCCTGTGTCCGGCCCCACAGCGCTTTAACGGCGAAGCCCTCGTTCTTCAGCAGCGGGATGATCACCCGTGCGGTGAGGCTGGTGCCGAACACGCCGACCCCAGGAAGCATAGCTCCAGGTTATTAGTTGGATTTGGTTCTGTGTGGATTCGCTTGGTGTTCGCAGCTCCGGACGACAGCAGAGCTGTGAAGGGAAGCGGCGGCGGGGACCGTCAGGTTGGCCATCCACCTGCACTCACACAATCTCTGTGCGGCATTTCCTCTCTGCGAACGGACACGTACTGTCGTTATCACCCGCCGAAAAATAACCCGAGAAAGGCGGAAATCCGACCCGGGCTTCTGCGCTTGAGCGAAGAAGTCTATAAATGAACCATTCCGCTCTTCACCTCGTCCGCGTCTGACAGCTATCACCGCACTGACTGCGCCAAGCAGGCGGAGAGCGTGTCCCCTCCTCCGCGGTTTGCTTACTCCTCCCCCTGCAGGACCCTCCCTGAAGATAACGGGGGCTGGAAGAAACGTGAGCCGGGAAAGCGCTTGGTCTGACGGCAGGTTGCCGGAAACACCGCCGTCACCCTGTGCCCGCTCCCCGTAGGATCCCAGTGCTACGGTGCTGGAGACGTTACTGATGGTGCAACACACACACACACACACACACACACACACACACACACACACACACACAGGAACCGCTACTAGCAGCACCATTTCAAAATAAAAGCTCCACGTTGCATGGTTGTTCGTGTGTATGTGTGATTCATATGAGTTACAATCAACCAATCGAATAAAACTTTAATTCTGCAGCACTTTTCATAGAAACTAGTAGAAAAAAGTGCACATTCAGAGCAGAAAATAAACAAAACCTGCACTACACTAACAACACCTCTTTATTGTGGTAACATGAGACTCTTTGTGCTAACAATCAAGCCAAACACCAACATCATCAAATATACAGTTGAAACCAGATATTTACATACTCTTCCAATAAAAACACAATCACTTTTTTAATTGTAAAACATTAAATCAGACTAAATGTTTATTCTTTTTAGATAAATATAAAAAACATATTTGTTAAATTTAAGAGTAAAGAGAGAAATTGTATGTATTTCTTAATTACAAATGGCACCCAAATTGTATTCAAAATTGAGCCACACTTATGGAGGTCTACAATTCTTTTCCTGGTGTTTTGGTTGATATGTCTTCCCATGTCAAAGAAACAGGCTCTGTATTTTGGGGGTGCCTTATATGCATCCACAGGTGTGCCACCAATTTACTCAAATGGACTCTACTAACCTATCAGAAGCTTCTTGAGCTCAGAATGGAATGTCTGGAGTTTTCTTATTAATTAAAGATACAATAAACGTAGTGTATATATACTCCTAAATTTGATGAAAGTGATAAAAAATAGACAGCTGCGTGGTTCCTCCACATATCTGCTTTTTCTGATGTTAATAGCGTGGAAACCACACACACCAACAACACTGTAGCTACATTCACTGCAGCTACAGAAGCTGCAGAGGACCACATCACAGCCATGACTAAATTGTGTCTGCTTACTGTTATGTATTTTTGATTTACTGTCTTATTATTAACTAATAATAATTTCAGTTTTTTGCAGTGCTAAGGCAGAAATATTACAAGATTTTCACGGTAGTAAATGCTTCCCAGAAGATGTTCCCTCTGGTCATTCTGTACCGTTTCATGTTTTAGCAACCTGAATGTTGACCTGTGCATCAGAGTAATTGGACCCATAAAGTGTCATATTTGAAATTGTGTTGATCCCTGTACTGTCATTGTTCATTCTATGACCAGATACCTGCAAAAGGTGTCATCACCAGTCACACCAGTTCACTTCACCTAAGTGCATCAGGTGTGATTGCTAGCCAACAATATAAAAATGGTATTTTAACCAAAGACTGTATAGAAAGATGTATTGCCTGCGTCCTGATGCACCAGTCAGTCACAAGCTGTATGTTTTTGCCATTGGTATAGATCAATGAAGCTGAGGGCCCTTTTTTCACTCCTACAAGACTATAAATCTTTTGGCCATCATCGTCTATGATTCATTAACCCTTTCACGCATAGTGGTCGCTACAGCGGACCGCTATTCAAAGGCCGTTTTCTTGTATTTGTGTCAGTGTTGATGGTATACTTGCACATAAACCACTACATTGGACATTGATGTGCCACTCCATACCCTGCCACCCACTGGTTGTTTAATGTTACTATAGATGTACGACCTGTTTCATTGTAATTATTGTTATTTAACTCTGTCATGCATGACTTATGACAACCCCAATCAGGGTTTCATGAGTATTTTTATTCATCTTTTCAAGCCTAAAGATGAATAAAAATATGTTAAAAAAATCCTGATTGAGGTTGTCACAAGTCATGCATGACAGAGTTAACTTCCTAATCACACAGACTGAACAAATAATAAGCTTAAGTTAATCTTTTGCCCTGTTTTATTTACATATATTTGTGTGTGTGTGTAAATCATTGAAAGAAAACATCCTAATGACCCAGCAGGACCTCGTTCAATGAATGGAAAAAGCTGAATGTCACAAATCAATACAGACATGAGCGCACAATATTGCATTACTGGACTGTTATTTTGGTTCATTGGGGGTCTGAAACACCAGTGAGACTTCTTTGTGTCTGCCAATAACACATTTGTGCAGATGGATGGAAACATCTCCCTCTCCAGATCATTTGCTCAAGGATGTACAGAGCGAACAGGAGAGAGAGATAGACTCTGAACTTGCTAGGTGCAGACTGCACACAGAAAACAGCTGCTAGCTGTCAAAGGTCAAAGCTGAGAGTTCTTTACTGTTTCTGACACAGCGTGTGCCTGCTCAGAAACACCATATAAAGAAAAAAGGTTTAAGGTTTTTGTAGCACACACAGAAACCTCCTCCTGAAGTTATGACATCAGAAACCTGTCATCCATGTGCCTTTATTGAAAACATGGTAGTAACTGTTCTGACTTAGGGAAAAATGTAAATGTTGCAAACATCACAGTCGCGCCTGTTAGGATGCCTGGGTCGTCGACCCAGGGTTTTTGAGTTTATAATATTATGTATACTTCCTAGTTTTTGGTTTCTTTGAGTTCTGTTTTATGGCTTAGGTCTCTGTCTTCTTTAGTTGCTCTGTCTCCCCTATCACCTGCATCCCCTTGTCTAGTTTGCGTCTATGTGTATCTTTAGTTCCTTTATCCCCCTGTTCAGTCAGTGTTTGTGTCTGCCCTGTTCCCACGTCTCTGTTCCCTTTGTTTTAGTGCCTGCCCGTGAGTCTGTGTTATGTTTCCTGTTTTACTTTGAAAGTCCATGTCTGATGTTAATGTGTCTGGTTTTGCTTCCCCCTTGTCTCGTTAGGCCTGATTTGCCCCAGCTGTGTTTCCCTCCTGTTACCCATTCCCTGATTGCTCCCTCTGTGTATTTAAGCCCTGTGTTTCTTGGTGTCTGTGTCGCGATCTACCGTTTATTTTGCTGTGTGGTTTGTCAATCCGCTGGTGTTAGTTTATTTTCTTGAGTTTTTCCAGTTATGTCATGTTTGCGTTCAGCATTAAAGCTGTTTTTGTTTAAGTTCTGTCTCCGGAGTCTGCACCTTGGGTCCTATTCCTGCCTGCACACAGCCACACCTAACAGCGCCTGCTGCTGCTGGAGATGATGTGGATGGACAGGAACAGGCTAGTAAAAACAAATCACAATGTTGACTTGTGTTTAGAGCTCTGGCTGTTGGCATCGTGTAAAGATGCTCCCACTCTCTGGGGTTTTGAATTTGGTTCTGATATCACTCATACACAGCATCTGTCGCATGGAGCCAGTTTGAAGAGAAGGCAAGGCTGCCCTCTTGTGGAGGATTGTGAGCACATCAATGCGACCACTGTCCTGCACATTAACTGTACAGTTTGCTGAACCATGTTTAGGTTTGCAAATCAACCAACTCTTGCTTACTGCTCCTAACAAGTGCACACAGTGTCAACATTTCTGAGTCAAACAATAAGTTTACCATCCACCACAAGTGAGTTCACTGCTACTGAGACCTTAGCCTATCATTTTTTTAATGTCAGGTAAATTCAGAGTTGTTAAAATAGCTCAACAGCTATTCCTTACTAGTGCCTGCAAGTAAAAAGTTCATTTATGATAACTTACTCCATGCACCAAATCGAATCTTTATACTAGGTCGGGGGTGGAAAGGTATCTCATGCAGTATGCCTTTTGCTCATATGCTTGAGAAGGCTGGATCACAGCCTGTCCACACAGAAACTCGACTGGAGCTCAATGTCAGATCGATGTGGGAGGTTACTTATTTTTACTGTTTAGGGTTCCCTGATCTGCCAGCTCCCATTTCAACCCCTGAAAATGGGCAGTACACACCACAGCAGTGTGATAGCATAAGCAGAACACTTTCAGATGAGTGTGGGGTTTGAATCCTGTGTGAAACCAGAGGCTGTGATTTCAACATTTTTAGTGTATTTTCTAATTTTCATCTGGTGAAAAGGAAAAAAGCAAAGGTTGGAACACAATTTATACCTCCTACACCTTTAATTGTAGGGAAAATGAACATGCTTGTTGAATAAGAGGATCAGAATAAATAACCAGGCAACTTTAGTTCTGGTTTGTTTCAGCACTTTTAATTATTATTTAGAGAGGCACAAATACAATTTATAGGGCTACCTTCCTCTATACGTGCACCCACATGCAACTTCCTGTTCCAGTCTGTGAGGCCTGCCAGCGGAGCCGGAAAACAGCAGAAACACACACAGGAAAATACACACATTACTAGCTTTGCGAGGACAATAAGTTAAATGTGTCACTCCCTGGTCCTACATAATAAATATCACTGCTCTGTGCCTAATCCCAAGTCTTAACCTTCAAACAGCCCTTTAAAGAGGGGTTAAACATTTGTTCTCACTCTGGTAAGTCTAATGACCGGTTCACAGAAACACAGCTGTACAGTACAAACACGCTCACACGTGCCTATTCTGCTCATCCTCTCACACAGCCAGAGGTCTTTTACTCTTTCTCAAATTTTCGCCTAATATTTCTCAAACAGTTTCGTTTGGACTGGACTTCCTTTAGTCAGCCGAGCCTCAGCGACAGCTTGAGGTAGATAACATTCTGCAG